ATGCCTGGTAGACCGTTACAAGAAAAATGCAGTCTGTGTGTCTCTTTCCCATAGATCAGCGCTGTCCTGCTTGGATTTTTCATTGCCAAATTTTAACCAGTCCCATAGCCTACAGGTTAACAAAGCTGAGTCTCACATGGCTCACTAAGGTTCGAATCCCAGCCCTGGCAACTGGAAAAACGGACCAGGCATGTGTGTGTACATGCCCCAAATCCCTATTAGATGAAGGAAAGAAGAAGGGGTGTATGTGACCATACCCTTTTGTGGGTGCTTTCTCTGTATCTCTGTTTCTCTCTGATGAGTGCATGTGCTTTTTGGCAATGAAAAATCGATTCTCTAAGTGACTAAAATAACAAGCCAAGATTTAAGAAAACTCTGAATATTTAGATTTCCTGCCCATTATAAACTAGGATGTGGGGGAGCATAAAGGGAGGGGGACACTTACAGGAGGAGATTTGTGACAAGATTCTGGGTTTTTCCCACTCTCCCCAACCTGATAATTAATAGGAGCCAGGAAGAAGCCCTGTATCTCCAAGCCTGGTTCCCGCTGCACCGGCACTCCAAACATCTGAAGGAAAAACAGTTTGTTAATTGCTGTCTAGACAGTTTATTGCGGCAATAAGATCAAAACCCAGAATCCTAAGGTTTGTGGTATGAATCACGCAGACTAAACAATTGTTTTATTGCATTTACAGAGAGCTTGATTTATAACTTTGCTGGGTAATAAAATTCCTTCGTGGTTTATCCAAAATAATTTTGCTCCTTTTACACCACTCCGGGTTGTTAAAATGTGTTCTCTGTCACATCTAAACAGTTTCTTATCAGATGTCTTGTTGTCATCAAGTAACTAACAAACAGGGCCAGGGTCCAGTCCATCCTGGCAGGGCCCAAGTGGAGGCCGGTGGGCTGGCTGGGGGATTTGTAACCCCGCTGTCACACCCAGAGGCTTCCACCCAGTGGACAGTTCCTAGACCCTGGGCCCCGCAGCCTTTTGCCTGGTTTGTCAGCAAAGGCCTGGTCTGAGTGGGATGGGCAGGGCCAGCCAGCTCTCTGGTGTCTCGGAGACCAGGGACCGACATCCTCACTGATGGCAGCCCTGTCTGTCCCCTGATCACCTGTGGAGTGTGAGGGGCGGAGGAACAGGCCGGCCTGCACTTATCTGCTGGTCACGCAACCCTGCAGCTGTCCAGTGGAATGGCTGCCCTCTGTGAGCAGAGGAGGGGTCGGAGCTCAGAAAGGACAAGTCGTCAGGGCTGAATGCTGGGAAGTGCAGGTACTTCCAGCTCCGAGGTCAGGGCTCTTGGGCTTCAGAAGCAACTGGGAATTAGCTCCCCCGGATTTTTATGTACACATTCCCTAAAGGGGATGTGCCTGTTTCATTCTCTCCCTTTTCACCCCTGCACTGGCTGCAGCAAAATTCTGGTGAGAGGCAGCGAATCCCCAAGGCCCTGGAATCGAATGCTAATTTTAAACGTTAGCATGACATTTACATAACATAGCATTAATCATTTTAATTTTTGTTGTTAATGTCCTTTTTTTTAAGTCAAGGGGCAGGCTTGTGCTCACGAGAAAGAGACAGTGAAACAGAGGAGAGGCAGAAAGCACCCACAGTGGGCCATGGAGAGGAGAGTGGAGGAGAAAGGATTGTGGTGTGGCCATCTTCCCTAGGGGGTGATTTCTCACTTCCTGTCTGTCTGTCTCTCTGTTTCTCCCGTGAGCACACGTGCCCTATAAGCAAGAATCTCTCTCTAAAATCAAACACATACTCCACTGTGTATGTAATTCATTTATCTATCCAGACACTAGCTGGTGGACATTTAGGTCCTTTACACCTTCGGCTGTTATAAATAATGCCGCTGTGAACACGTGTGTACCTGTATGTGTCTGGTTATGAGTGTCTGTTTTTAATTCTGTTGAGTTTACATCTAGAAGTGGAATTAGATCACATAGTAATTCTCTGTTTAGCATTTTGAGGAACTACCAACTATTTTTCACAATAGCCGAACCATTTTACATTCCTACCAGCAATGTACAAGTGTTCTAATTTCTTTTTTTTTTAAGGAATTATTTTATTTTAACTTTATTTATTTATTTTAATTTGACCAGAGAGGGGCAGAGTGAGAGGGGCAGAGAAAGGCACCAGGTCTGGGACTCAAACTGTGGTTTGCCATGTGGGACTCCAACGCCCTTGACCACCTGTTGGCCCCCTAATTTCTTTTTTTCTAAAAGGTACTTTTTTAAAAAAAGAATTATTTTAACTTTATTTATTGATTTATTTTAATTTGATAATAGAGAGATAGAGGGAGAGAGAGAGAGAGAGAGAAAGGGAGAAGGAAAGCCACTGTTACC